TCTTCTCTCTCTCTCTCTCTCATTTTAGTTTCGGTGCGATCGCTTTGCGTTTGAAAATCCCACCACACCACAGCCTGTCGTGATTTTGGAGAAGCTCGGGACAATAACCAGACAGTGAGGAGCTACTTCGGGGTGCGGTAGCACGCGCAAAGCATCACATCCTTGCCACCCACGTGACCGAATATTGAAGCAATTATGCAGCATCATGACCCCCAAATTCGAGCAATGGCCGCTGCCTGCACGCACCGTGTAGACTGGGCTCTCGGTGATGGTAGCACTGCTGATATCACGGTAGTAGACGTTCAACTTAGCAAACTGCTTTGCCCACACTTCCTGATCGCCAACGCCCACGTCCTCATCGTCAGGTACGAAGTGATTCCCCTTGAGCAGCAAGGCCAGGAAGTCGCCTTGGGGCCACGAGGCGACCGACAGCTGCGGCTGGTAGTCCATGTCCCTGGTGGCCGGGGCGTATGCAGCTGGGTGGTACTGTCTAAAGCACGCGCGGGCGTACCCCGCTGCAAAACAGTCTCATTGGGAACATATCAGGAGTGTTGTACAACATCAGCTGTGGGAGCAGCACGCCGCAAATTTAATGTACGGGTCACTAAATATCGGATATGCAATTTTTCCAACCAAAGGAAGGGTATTGCAGCAGAAAAACACATTTGATTTTGCGCAACTGCGCAACTGTAGCCCGTACAAACTGGGGCCCGAAAGTTTACACATCCTTTAGAACTCGATGTTTGGAATGAAAGCATTAATAACATTTACATCTGCAGCGTAAGGATTTGAACGCCCTCATTCGTCGGGCTTCGCTCGTTCGGTGTGGTGAGTTATACCGACACCTCCGAACAGAGCACATTTGCTGTCAACAACGAGACCACCGAGATCGGGAATCGAGACACCTGGTCACCCGGAACCCGGCCCCTCAAACACTCAGCGCAGGATGTCACCACCGGCCGGTCTACCGGTATCTTCGCGCTTCGTGCCAGAAAGCTGGGACTCGGCCTCAGCCATGTCCAAGGAATTAGCGTCGCGTTCGTATTCGAAATCAGCGTCGAGCTCAGAACAGCGAATTCCAACAGCTTTCACCCCAGGTCAAATGTGTTGAGTTATTCACGCATCTGCAATCCCCTTTTTAAGTCACTAGTCTGACGTCTGCGGGTTAATGAAAGGTCGAAACTTGGGCACCCAGGCATTCCTTCGTTTATCTAAGAAACAAAACAAACTGGGCATCATATTGATATTTGTGATATCTACTTTTGTCACACCTACCGAAACCGGTACCATGATCAAAGGCCAAGGTCACATGAAACGAGATGTTTCATGTGCCAACCACACCATGCCAAGTCTTCGCTAATGAAGGAATTGCAGCAACAAGAACGTCATATTAATGCTCGTAATGTTCTCTTTCATCACAGCTGCAAAAATGCCTATCAAGGTCAAAGGCAAAGGTCACAAAGAGCGTGGTACCTTAGCAATTTATTCCTTTACCAACGAAATAAAAAAACAAGGTGCCAAATTGGAGCTTGTGATGTCCGCTTTCGTTACACCTGCAGCAACTAACTCTCAAGGTCAAACGCCGTTCAAGGTCAAACGCCGGTCAAGGTCAACTAACTCTTAAGGTCAAACGCCGAGGCCACAAAAACCCGGTACCCTAGAAAAAACCCTAAAGCACCCTAGAAAAATAATTTTCAAGGTCAAAATCAAGGTCACACAAAACACCGCAGCCTGACCTGAATTTGCTTACTGAGGAAATGCCACAAAAGGGATGTCATATTAATGTTCGTGGTGTCTCCTTTCGGATTATGCTCAAGGTCAAAGATGAAGGTAACATAAAGCGCAATATACTGCCCCTTGTATATTTCGTAAGAAAATACAGTAAAAATCCTTGCACATTGATGCTTGAGATGCCAGCTTTCGTTGCACCTTCACTTTTTCTTTCAAAGTCGACATCACGTTCGTCACTATGATGCCCATTTTGTTATGTTTCTTTACTAAACAAATTAACGAGAAGGTACCGCTTTTATGTGACCTTGATCTTTGACCGTCAGGGACAGCTTCTCCGTGTGTGGCCAAATTGTACACAACAAGGATGGCTATTTCATTCTGTTTTTGCATTTCTTTGGAAAAAGAAATACCAGTGTACCGCATTTTGCGTTACGCACGCATTTCACCTTGAAAGTTGATTCTTAAAATATGACAAAAGCAGGCATCACAAGAATCAATGATACCCCATCCGTGATGCGACTTTATTGAACAAATAGATGCTAGGGTATCACCCTTTGAGCGACCTTGACCTTAAGAATTAGTGCAACAAAAGCTGATATAACGGGCATCAATATGATGGGTCTTTTGTTGCACTGCCTCACTAAATGAATAAATGGTAGAGCATTACGTTTCGTGACCTCTGACCGTAGACTTTTCATGTGTGACGAAAACAAACACTGTGGAGGCGCGCCGTGCTTGCGGATGAGTTCTGGAAGGGTCAAGGCAGGCGGACACGCGACGCCGACAATAACCTTATCAACGTCCTCCTTGGCACAACAACGGGAGAGGATAGCCCTGATCCCTAGCCGGGGACCACGGGCGCGAGCTAGGCGATTCTTTTACAGCATTATTTCGTTATTTGGATATTTGGATCAGAGCCCTTTCGACAAGAAGTGATCATTTCGGGGCTATGGAATAAAGGAGAATGGGTAGCGGTGGGGCAGAACTGCGCCTGGGGGGCCAACCACCGAGCCTTCGCCCGCACAGGGACCTCTCTGCGGGGTGTGCGCTGGGCGCCCAGTTGGGGTCCCCTCCAGGGGCCCCTCGGTTCACGCGTGCCCGACGCATATTGCCTGCCCCGGACAAGCGAGGCTTCGCGAGGACACTCGATAAAGCAAGAAAGAGGAACAGAAGATCTGATGTTACAAGATGCTTTTTATTGGGTTTGAGGCGTTTCGGTTCACTTGGACCAATTCACGCCTTTACCAGGACTATTTCAAATCAAACTCAAATATGTGACTGAAAAAGTAAATGACATTGCTCAACTGACAACCCTTCACGGTGTTTTGAAGGATATTAGCACGTCTAAGAAAATCGAAGACGAGATCAAGAAAATGTGGACAGTCATTGAATACATTCTAGTGTGCCGAGTCTAGCGTAGCCTTGACTATTGATCTAACAAGGACATTCTTGCAGATGTGACGAAACATCGAACATCAGGTGTGCGGACATCACGAGCATCAATATGACTCCTTGTGTTGCAATTTCTTAATGAACGAAGATATACCACGAAAATGCCATTTTTTCGTGACGTTGACCTTAAACCTTCAGAGTAAGCTTCTGTAGGCGTGACAAACGTCGACACCACGAGGGTCAATATAACACCCATTTGTTTTATTCCTTAAATGATCTAAAGGATACCAGGGTATCCAAGTTATGACCTTTCATTGACCTGCCCTGGTCGAATAAAGCAGCTTACAGGAAAGAGGAATGCAGATGCGTGAATGCCAGGAAGTGTTGGACCTGGGAAGAAGCTGCTGGAAATCAAAACTCGACACTGAACTCGAAATCCCACGCCGGCTGCCCTCCTTTCCCATGAGAGGATCATCTGTTCATCCGAAGTATGAACATGTTCATCTTTAGGATCACCTGTTTACCTGAGGATCATCTGTGGATTTCAAGCTCGCGATCGTGTCTTTCCCCGCTGTCCTCCTCCGTCCCTAGTTCACAGTCGGATTATCCCTTCCGGTCTAAATTCGAACTCCCTTCGGTCGCCCATGTGAACAGGGTGGGGGGAGCAGGGCCACGACGCACGCCACGTCACGCCACGTGGCGTCACCTCTGGTCAGGCCGGACTCACGCGCACGGGACGGAGCAGACGCAGTCACGCCACGTGACGCCACATCTGTCAGCCCAGACTCACGCGCACGGGACGGAGCAGACGACAGTCGCGACTCGCGTTGCCCCCGGCTATGTCGGGCGATCACCGCTTCCGTACAGTTCGAGTCCTGCGCTGAAAACAGACAGCATATGTTTGGGCAGAGAGGACAGGACATGGGCATCTGGCTGGGGACTGACTGCCAACCAGCTGTAGTCAAGCGGTCGGAGCCACGTGACAGTAAGCCTTAGGCGAACCACACCAAGCCGCTCCAGTTTTGCGAGTACCGTTGGTGCTTTCCTCGTCTGTTGCTAATGCTTTTATCTGTCAGTGAAAGAGACGTGTCATCCGGCACGTATCCAGTCCTCAAGCAGGGTCCTACACAGGAGCGCAGACAGGGGGGGGGGGGGGGGTACAGAGGGCACGCACGCCCCCTTACGTCCCGAGGGACCCTCCTGGGGACCATCGATAAAGAGAGGGCCGAGATGAGCGTCCCAGGAGCTCGAAAGCCGGGCCGAAGTTCGTATTCAGAGGCCCCGGCCTGCAGGGCAAGGCGCTC